CCGTTTGTATGTGGCGCAACAATTCTGGATCGCTGGGCAGACGCGCATATGCGCGTCCTAGCACCGCTTGTTGATTGCTTCACTGACTTGCCTCCTCGAATTCCAGAGGCTTACGTCGAATGCATGGTCATCACGAGCCACGCCACTCTTTTCACATCAACCTTGAAGCTTATAGCCATGCTATCAGTAACCTACATAGTCTGTGGCCCAACTAACCACATCCGCAAATGGTCCAGCAGTCGGGCTAGCTGAATGTCCTCTTTGAGTAGCAGTTGATAAGCGAAGCCCAATATGTTTTTTTGTGAACTGACTCGACAGGACATGTGAGAGCTGATAGTCAGACTCACCAGCCATGTCTCAAACATTCATATTGGTACCTTAGACTCGTGACATTTGCACTGACCCTTCAGGATCCTTGCAGATTCCGACTGGTCAGGAATTGGGACTCAACCTCTCAGATGTCCGTGAACTCAGCAGAGTCTTGAGAGACTGCCACGACAGCATGATTAATACCACTTGGAGCAGCATCTTCATGTTGTTTGATGAACCCCTGGGACAAGCCTATGGTCGCATCTATACGACCCCTGCCTATCACCTCATTCCTTCGAACCATATCATAGTCCTGTCTATTGATCAAGCGGTCTATCATATGACCAGCCGTATTTTGTCATAAGCGGCGCTTAAATCGGATATAGATTTTTATCTCATGTTTGGTAGCACTTACTCGCTTCTGATTCTCTTCAAACCAACTTTTATGGTGGGGTTTACCGTGTTGACCTATGTTCTGTTGTGCTCAGGCGGATCCTTGCAGGCCATGATGAACTTTCGTAGTCAACAGAGAAACGCAAACCGATGTTTGGCCAATTGGGGTTTGTTATTGCAGAGAACAGACGAGTGTCCGAATGCTTCTCTGAACCACGACTTCTTAGTAGCATAAAATCTATGCATTGAGTCCCAAGATAGTAGTTAAAGAGATCAACGCTGTTACTCAACTTCTTAGAGAGAAGAATGGTCTTCATACGTCATTAAATTATATTGGTATTCCCGTCTGATATCAACTACTGTATACCCGGTTCTATTTTAATACCGGTTCAATTTGACCTAGCTTAACGATAAACCTCCCTCCTCGCATCATCTGCGTAAACAATCTCCTGTGTTGCTCCTCGCGGCCTTTCAATGAAAGCTATCTCCTCCCCACCTCTCATCGGTTGATTGTAGTACCGCTCCACCGGCCGCGTGCTGTACTCCTGTCTCACAACGCCTGGCTCTGCAGCAATGGCACCGTATTCCCGCGCGTAAGGCTGTACAGCCTCACGGCGGCTCTCCGGGTGGACGCTTGTGGCATATTGACGTACGGGTGGCTCGGGTCGCACGCTCTGCACTCGGCCGTAGTCCCGGGCGACCTCATACCGAACAGGCTCTGCTGGTCGCACGCTGTTCGGCCTTGTAATATAATCTCTCGTCCCGTCTTCCATACGTCTTCGTTCTGGAGGTGCCATCACCTCAACGAATTCCCCTGAGGGACCTATTGGCCGTGTTGAATGCTCACGCGGTCTATGGTCCCTGTAATCCTGCGAAACGTACTCAGGTTGTGTGACGACCCGCCTAGGCATATACGATGGCGAACGTATCCTGTAGACTGCCCCTCCTTCTTCGTACGCCTCCATCGCCTGGGGCCTCCGAACCGGAGTTCGTTCATAAAAGATCTCGGGCTCCCCGGATCGAGCGGGAGGAGCTGCGGAGTGCCGGATGTTTGTCGAACGTGGTGGCTCAATATACTCACGTCCATAAGCATCTACGATAATTCGAGTTGGCGGCGGCCTGTGCGGTGCCATGAACACATCGCCTTCTGGTCTTAAGCCTGTAGGTGACGCTTCATGTGCTCCCGCATAGGGCCACGATGGGCGTGGATAACTGTCGTTAGGTCGAACCTGGGAGCTTGCTGTTCCCATCGATAGCCTCTGGTGAGGAGGGGGAACATGTGGGGGCTGTTCAATAGGATACGGTCCACCGGAAACGTATCGATCATCGGCATATTCTCTCCTATAGACAGCAGTTCCAGGAACAGTGGTGCTCGCTGCACGTTGTGATGAAAAGCCTACTGTGTCATAGCCTATCGGCACTCGATCATCTCGCTCTTGACGATTATGCACAGGCACAGGTTCTGGGGGATAGAGGGCCGGGCGAGGCTCGTAACGAACTTCCTCGTAGACAGGTTCATCTGGCTGTTGCTGAGCGTACCTTTGACGTTTATTGGGACGAATATAGGAAGGGGCATTCATAGGGGAGGGAGATCTAGGTTCGGCCTTGATATAAGGCGTTGGTTCAGACTCTGGCGCTTGCCTGTCAGCCTTTCTCTTCTTCTTCTTTGGTTTTCGCCTATCCGAGGCACCGCCTTGAGGCGAGCTTTCGGGACTAGTGACAGCGACTGGCTCATTCCTGAGAGCAGCAACTTGAGCGGGAGTACCAGTGGACGAAGTCGACGTCGCTTCGGCAGCCCGAGGTCGTGGCCTATTGTTCATTAATGGCGAAGTCTGCGCATTCTGATGTGGTCTCTCATGTGCTCTGATCAGAGGAGAAGGGGGACGGCTGTCAATATAGTGTTCACGGGGAGGCTGTCGAGAGGCTGATCCGTAATCAGCTCTACGCCTATCGCTCTCCCCATTACTGGGACTCTGCTTGGCACTTCTATCCTGCCTAGGCACTGTCTTGTCTGCATTATAAGTAGCAAGGCCAGGAACCTGCACAGGCCGTGAAGTGCTGTTAACGCTCACCGAACCGACAAAAGGGTCTGGATTTGCGTAGGCTTCTTGAGGTCTAGTATGGCTCGGTGCGTACGGCCCCGGAGGGACTTTCTCAAAACCAATCGGAGGTTGTTGCGGAATAGGAGCATTTTGGCTATTTATCTTTGGTTGCGACTCCGCGACGGGTACTTGTGCCTCTTCGGACTCGTTACGGACTCGGGAAGTCAAAACGGATGATGGAGTGTTGTGCTGCGACGAGTAGAAAGTGTTGTCATCGAAGGAATCACTTGCATTGTCAATGTTAGTAGCATCAGCAGCAGCAGCAGTGGTAGTGTCGGGACCGGCATCGCTTTCCACAAGCGTCAAGGCTTTCGTCAAGACCTCGTTAAGATCGAATTCGACGACAGGCTCCCCTTGCGCCACGGTCTTAGCAGTTACTCGTCTCTGGTCAACTTCGTCCCTCAGAGCACGTTCCAGCCTCTGTCTCTGCAGCTTCAACTCTGCTTTGACCAAATCCTCAGATTTCTCTAGGAATATTGGGTTGATCTCAGTAGACCCTGACCCATATGGCTTGCTGTTGTCGGTAGCAGACACATCTGTTTGCTTTTCGTTGGCGATGGTTTGCCGTTGAGCGTCTGTCTGCTTACTCGGTGTTCCATCTTGCGTGGAAGTATCTATCGGATGGATGGAAGTTTGCGTGGAAGGGGTAAAGTTAGAGGGGACCTTGATGATCGGATGTTTACCAGAGAGAACAGTTGTAGAGAAGCGTACAATCTTCTCATACTGTTCGATCTGATGACGTTCCTTCTCAGCAAGACCAGCAAGCTCATTCCTACTAGCAAGAGGCCCCTGAACAGCAATCTCTTGTGCCATGATGGCGGCGAGTGAAATGTACACGTCGCGTCACCAGGCGACACCAGATTAAAATAAAAAAAAAGGGAGCAAGCAAGCAAGCAAGCAATAGGACCAACTCCAAGCAAGTTAGCTCAACGAAAGGGTTGGGTAAAAAGCCCGACGGACAACGCCACTCTTGACGCGATATGACGCGGACCAAAGAGAACTACTGATCAAAAATGCAAATGCGCTGTTTCGGCTGTTGTTCAAGAAATACTGGTAGAAGCTTTGATGTTGGAGGTCTGTGCAATTAATGGAGTCGGGTGGTTTTTAGGTAGGGCCACTGGGCGCCTCGACTCGGGTGGACGCGAAAGGCAAACAATTTAGGCGGTGTAAGCGGCAGAATTCTTTCACGTCAGGGTCTTGGAATTATACAAAAGTTATCAGATGAAAGTGGTGACATGAGATGAAATTATATATGAATAATTGAATTGTCTTTTGTATTTTGTCTGCCACTAATCAATGATCTGGCATAGTTTGGCTGAATCTGTTGCAACGTTGACTTTGGCGGCATTAGGTTGAATGTCATGTGTTAGTGTCATAATAGCTCTTACACGGACTGCCTCTGAGCCTCAATATCAAGAACACGACACTTGTGGTCATACAAATTCGATCCTTGAAGATACCAAAGACTAATATCCATGCTTTAAGTAAGTTTGACTAGTCTAAAGCCTCCGTATTTATGTCTTGCCCTATCATTTAGTGCCCGAACCATGAGGCTCAAGATGAACTCCTTGTAAGCATGGATCATGCCAACACTATAGTATTACACGTGGCTCGACAGTTTATGCCATGATGATCTAGGATTTCAAGTCCTGTGACCTATTCAAACGTGTTTTTAGATGGAGATTTAATCAAACAAAGGGGCCATCTTCCATGAAAGTCCTCGAATGTTTGCTCAACAACAACTCACATGTCACCAAAAGCAACTAGTGACAGAATGACAGTCCCGCGATCGGAGACCGGAAGACGATCCGCGCTGAACTTTGCTCATTATTCAGCCACACCGCAAGAGTCATTGGGTGAAACGTAGCGCATCGACGACGGACGGATACCGACGATATCCTACGGATACTGCAGAGTTGATCCAAAGAAGCGATTGATTACTTACTAGCCTTGCGTTTTTGGCCCAGATCGCCATTCTCTATAAAATTCTATTTAAACCGTCTCTCTCCTCCTCATAGCCATTCAATGTACCAATTACGACCACGTGTTACCGTAATATCATCATTGAAGCGCTTCTCAAAACCTCTAGTTGCCTCCTCTTTATTGCTCAACCCAAATCTCACACCTCGCTATCCTCACTTTACCACCACAAACCCCAACCCCAACCTCCATATTCAGACCCGTACCAAATTCACCATGGGCAGTACTCAGGACATGAACCCGGGAAAGCCGGTCCTATTCTTGTTAGTCTTTTTGAAATTTACCCTCTCATAGGCTCCGAGCTAACTGTGTTGCAGCGATATTGACAACTGTCTCTATCCGAGGAGTAAGCTTACACTGAAATTTGTGTTTATGACTACTTGAAACTAACCGTGAATAAAGGCACAAAAGTCCATGACATAATGGCCAAACTCATTGATGAGTACTTCTCCAAGCACCTGGAGATCCCTTGGGATGAGGCTGTGAAACTGCACAAAGAGTACTACACCAACTATGGCCTTGCTATTGAGGGGTTGGTGCGCCATCACCAAATTGATCCTCTGGACTACAACGCCAAAGTGGACGATGCTTTACCCCTTGAAGAAATCATCAAGCCCAACCCTGAGCTACGCGAAATCCTGGAGGACATCGACAAGTCCAAGGTCACTGTGTGGCTTTTCACCAACGCCTATGTGAACCATGGGAAGAAGGTTGTTCGCCTCTTGGGCATCGAGGATATCTTTGATGGTCTCACATACTGCAACTATGCGGAACAACCGTTACTCTGCAAGCCGGACCCCCGCATGTACGAGAAGGCCATGCGCGAAGCAGGCGTCGAGCGTGTGGAGGATTGTTACTTTGTTGGTAAGTTGCCCCCCGCTGTTACTCAAACCTCCATCTAACCCTTTCTAGATGATTCTGCCTTGAACTGCACAGAAGCCAAAAAGTTTGGTTGGACAGCGGCTCATCTCGTTGAGGAGGGAGTACCAGCTCCCAAGACCCCTGCTTCGCAATACCAAATCCAGCATCTGCGAGAGCTACGGAACGTCTACCCGCAGTTCTTCAAATCTACTTCAAACAAGGCATAGATTATGACATTTGTGGTTGGTTACGAAATAGACGGGATTATAGGGCATATGATAAAGTTTTTAGACGGTGGCGTTCAAGGCGCTCACTCGGCTGAGGTACCTTTGTATTATGGTTATTCAACAAAAATAATAAAATGCTCCTTTTGTGAGGGCTACCAGCCTTCCATTTGGTTATTCGTACCCTGAACTCCGCGCTGCGCATCAATAAATGTGTCAAAAACAGACCGAACCCGTAATTATGGTCGTCGTATGCTGCGAATAACACTGTCAAGCTCAGACAAGATCTGATCCTTCTCCTTGATTGCTTCTTGGCGTTGGGCTTCAGCGATTTTCAGATCTTCCTCCAGCTCTTTGATGTACCTCTCCTGATCCATCTCACTGTTGTCTAAGCCGGGTAGAGATGAGATGAGGACCTCGATTTGTTGCTCTTTGACAATGAGATCCTGTGACAACTCAACCATGCCAGCTCGAAACTCATCTGGAGGAAGTGAATCGACTGAGGAAAGTTAGCATGATCCCTTCCAAATCGATCATAAAATTTAACATGCCTTCTTTTGGAGCATCTTTCACTTCGCGAACTTTGTCATTAGGACCTAGTGTTTCAAGGTCATGTCGCTTGTTGACATAGTGAAGGCATGCAACGAACTGCGTGGCTAGCTGTAGGATTAATTAGCAAAAGATTTTCTTGAGATGGAATCTGTACTTACCTGATCTACAGCGTCTTGTAGTTGTGTTAGTCGATCGCCCATGATGTTGGCTGTCAGTTCTCAAACAAAGCAGTTCTGATGAAATACAGCTTCAAGGCTCATTCACACCTCAATCTCACACTGGCTTAGCTGTCACGTGGGGATATGCCGGAAGTCGGACAATCAACAATCCGCCCGGAAATTTTGGAGCTCAGTGATGGAAGGAAGTGAACACCGTTGTCTCTGGGCGAGCTATGACATGATTGGCACGGCATGGTCCAAGTGGCAGCAACACCATGTTCACTCTTTCTTAGGTCAACCTGTCAAGTCCACATCTTTTACTTCGCCTTCGTGCGCTTCTGTCTCTCTCATCCAATTCTTTAGCCCGATAAACATTTTCTCTACACTCTTTTTTACATTGACTTTTGCAGTAAACCATGTCTGAGCAACCTCCCCAGCCAGGCCCCCAGCCTGGACAGATTCCCATGCCGCAACCTGGGCAGCGACCTACACCCGAGCAGATCCAGGCAATGCAGCGCCAACTCGCTATTGATGCTGAGAAGAACGGCATGACTGTCCCTGAATTTATCGAGCATATCAAGAGACAAGCGCAAGAGCAAATGAGAATGCGCGCACAACAGCAACAGCAAGGCCATGATCACGACCACGACCACAACGGTCATTCTCATGATCACGGTCAACCTCCTCAGCAGGGTCGCGCCCAGCCTATTACGCCGGGACCCCCCAACCCCAAAGCTATTGCTCTTGCCTCGTTCCTCCGAGGTCAGGATCTCAAGCCTAGAACTGTGATTCTGAACGGCGAGCGAAAGGACATGTTTCGAGGTAGGCCACACGGCACCAATCTCTTCCACGTCAGAAGCTGACAAAATTTAGTCAAGCGAGCCCTCCGAGCTCTTCAGTCCCCCGCATATGAGAAAGCCCGCAAGAAGAACCCTCTTCTCCCCGAAATCACCGACAGAGCTTCTCTCGAGAACACATTCAAGTTGTTGCCCCTGAGCATGCTTGCCCTCCGAGTTTCCAAGGTCGAACCGCAGGCAGGCCCTAACGGAAAGAAGCCCAAGCGTGTCAAGGGACAGTGGACTGTCAAGATTGAGCAGCAGCAAGAGGCAAAGGAGGATATGTACTACTGCTGGCTGTGGGAAGGTGGCCAGCTCAAGCGCAAGATCTACGCTGGTCTTGCACTCCTTGCCATCTTCGCTATCGTCTTGTACCCTCTGTGGCCTTTGGTGCTGCGCCAGGGTGTCTACTACCTCAGTTGGGGACTCCTTGGTCTGCTCGGACTGTTCTTCTTGATGGCCATCTTCCGAGTTATCCTGTTCTGCATCACCTACTTCACAACACCACCTGGACTATGGCTATTCCCCAACTTGTGGGAAGACGTTTCTTTCATGGACAGTTTCAGACCCGTTTGGGCTTGGCACGAGGTCAGTTGACTATGCTACGAGAGAATGAAACAAATCACTAACAATACGTACAGACCGAGAAGAAGAAGAAAAAGAAGAAGTCTGCTGCCCCTGGAACCACCCCCAACCCCGCCTTCGCAGCCGCTACTGGACAAGTCAACACAAGTGCGACTACAACTGGCACAGATACCCAGGTCAAGACTGCTGGTGTGCAGCAACGGCACTACGAGGCCCCAAGAGTTGAAGAGCTTGACGACGACGAGTAGATGGCATCTAAAAGTGACCTTGGACGATGGCGTTTTTTGGGAGTTGTAATAGTATCGTGGATCTACCGTGTAGTGTGGAAAGCAATCAAAGCGGTCTCTTTTTTGTACAAGAATTTCCCAAGCTTATACAGGCATGGACGATGTCAATTTTGTTGTGAAATGTTCATATTTTTGGATGGATATCTAGAAAACAACCGAAGCACCCCGCCAGCCATGGTCCATGATAAGAACAGCAATATCGAGTCGCCTCGTTTTCCTCCAATGAATGGAATTTTCTACAGCACTTTTGGATAGTCGATCCTTGTTAATAACAAGAATTCGATTCACTTAACCCCTCCATGATAGCGCCTCAGGATTGCAACGTCAGATGTTTCCAAAAGAAGGTACCGCCCTTAAGTTCTCCATTTGGACTTAGACCATATTTTGGGATCTGGCCAAGCTCGACATAACCGAGCTTTTTATACACCTCTTCTGCTGGGCTTCCGGTCTCCGTGTCGAGAAGCTAAGCGGTTGTTAGTTACCGGGACTTACATGCCGAAGAGCTAACGTTAGTATAGTTACGATGGACATTGAACTTACCAGAATAGTTCGACCACGCTTGGTCGCTTCAGCTTCGAGAGCAGAAATCAAAGTTCTGGCGCCTCCTCGACCGCGAAAAGCTTTGTGGACGAGAAGCTTTTCGACGACACCGCGGAATGGGCCAGTTTCTGAAGAGGGCATGTTTAACATGACAACGCCCACCACATCGGAGCCGTTCGGCCGAGCTCCGGGCTCGCAGTCGTTCAGGAGAATGAAGATGAGGCGTTTGCCGTCTGCCACCTCCGCAATTCGCTCTTTCCACCAAGCAAGGAGTTTCTCGTGAGACAGGGGCGGGAGGAATTCTGCGATAGTTCGGTCGTGAGTGATACAGGAGGCGTGAATGGCTGCAAGATAGGGTATCAGGTGTCCATGCTGCCCTGGTGAGAAGAGAGCCACTGTTCCTGAAGCTGTCATGTTGAGGATATCTTGTTGATTGGACGAGCTTATGTCGAGAGTCTTGAGTTTAAGTGGTTCCAAGAGAGTAAGCTGTGTCTCAGTGTGCAATGCTTCTTTGTCGTATAAGCATCTGCAGGATTGGAGACCATGTATCCAACCGCAATGGAATATTTGAATTTGATCAGTGAAATATCGGTCAACTCTGGTGTAGAAATTCTGTACAAGATTTATCAGAGGCTTGACTTATTAGGCAACTCGATGAGGGGAGATAACTTAAGGGTTATCCGATTTAGGAGCTCGAGCCCGGTGCAAGCTAGCAGTAGTAGACTTACTTGAAGAGTTTAAACTTGGGCTGATGCTCAAGTAAGCGGTTGAAGGTTAAGAAATGTGAGAATTGCAAGATGAAGTGTTGAGAAAAAGAGGTCGGGGGATTTCGGCTTAGGGAGTTAAAAGGCCATGGATGTTAGAGAGACCTGAGCATCAAAACGTGACTGATTACCTTGCTTGCCTCTCGTTAGAGGTTAGGTTACTACAGTATTTAAGATGAGGTCCAGTCTCTAGGTCTGTCTGTCTGTCTGTCTGTCCGTCCGTGTGAGTGTGATTCAGTGAACCACCTTAGAAAAAAAAGTCGCCTTCTCCCCTGCAGCCACTTGCAAGCTAAGGTAACGCTGGGCTGGGCTTGTGGGATGCAAGGTTGTTGGGTTACAAGGTGCCCTAGCAAAGATGGAAGTTTTCCAGGTTCCAGTTCCTGAGATGGTCCCCTCCATGACTGATGCCCTGTAGTTACCGTTCCGGCGGGTAATTGCAGCGGCCCTGGGCCCTGGAGAGGTACACACTGGAACGGTAAGTGGGCTGCGTGTCCAGTGGATTTTAGCGTATAAGTTCGACGGCTCCGCAACCCATCAATTCAACCCTCCCCGGTCGACATCTTATTAGTTACCTTAGACAACCAAGTTGGCTCTTTTACACCCTCAGGACGACTCTGGATTGGATCGAATCCTTTCACTCTCTGCGGGAGCAATCGTGAAGAGGTTGCACGCCACGGTTGCCACAGATTGTCGGAATAAAATGGCGCATATACAAATCTGGCAGTTGAGAATTGCTTTTGCCTTTTGCCTTGTTCTTTGCCGATGGCTTCAACAAGTTGACCGACCATCGAGGGTAAGTTGACTAAGAGTTGAGGCCTGAAAGCTAGTGAATTCATGGATGGGTTGATGAAACGAGACGGGACGGGACGGATGGAGAACGGGAACTCTTCATACTGTCGGGTACTGTCTGTCCACTGTATTCCTTGCAACTCCGTGGATAACATCGTGACAAAGTCCACTCTATCAGCTCATCCTTCGGTGTTCAGACACCGAGTCATGGACACCTCACACCTGTAGCTGATCCAGGACTATCACACATTGTTAATCTCGGTTGCCGAAAACAGGCTGAGTCGATCCATATATCAGCGTTGATATCATGATCAGTTGACTGAAGTCATACCAGTCAGTTATAGAGTCTGATACAAGGAAGCACAAACAGGCTATCACGGCTATTCTTCTCTGAATGAGTTGTTGCAGGCCAAGAGGTTTCATCGGGTTTAAGCAGCAGTTCACACGAGCCTCATACAAACTGGACATGCGAGTTCGGTAGATTTTTTATTA